CCCCTCTCCCTGTCCTGAAATTCCGTATTCTGGCTGGCCTTGAACTCACAGAGATCTGCCTGCCTCTGCCTCCCAAATGATGGTATTAAAGGTGTGTGCCACCACACCTGGCCCTTTTACTTTTTAAATGGAAGGCAGTTCTGGACCAGGGTATGGTGATGCACAGCTGTAATTTCAGAACTCAGGAGGCTATGGCAGGGTGAGCACAGCTTCAAGGTCAGTGTGTGTTACATAGTAAGACTGTCATTTTAAGGGAAAAAAATGTGCTGGGCAATGGTGGTGGCATATGCGTTTAATCCCATCATTCTGGGGGCAGAAGCAGGCCGTTCTCTTCAATTCAAGGCCAGCCTGGTCAGCAGCATGAGAGAAACCCTGTCTCGAAGGAAAAAAAAATGTGGAGAGGTCACCTCTAGGGTTAGGGTTAGGGGGAAGATGGAGGAGAGTTTCACTGTGGAAGATGGAACAGTTCTGGAGACTGTGGCAATGGCACAGCAACATGAAGACACCTGACACCACTGAAATATCTTTTTCTTCTTTGTTTTATGTGTATCTTTCACCTGCATGTATGTCTGTGTGACACATGTGTGCCTGATGCCTGTGGAGGCCGGGGGGGGGGGGGGGGGAGGGAAGAGGGAGGGGGGTCAGATTCCCTGGGACCAGAATTACAGATGGTTGTAAACCACCACATGGGTGCTGGGCATTGAACATGGGTGCTCTGGAAGAACAGCCAGTGCTCTTAACCACTGAGCCATGGCTCCAGCCTTGAAGTGTCTTAAAAGTGATTAAAATGGAAGCTAAGGAGATGGTTCATTGGATAAGTTGTTTCGTGTGCAAGCATGAGGACTGAGTTCAGATTACCAGAACCCATGTAAAGCTGGACTCAAGCATGCATCTGTAATTCCAGCCCTAATACAGTAGCCTGGGGCTTGGCTGGGAGACAAGACTACCTTAAGCTCGCAGCAGTTAGCCTGGTGTATGCAGTAGTGAACAAGAGACCTTGTTTCAACCGAGGTGGAAGGCAAGGACCAACACCTAAGGTTGTCTTCTCATCTCCAGCAAGTGTGTTGTCCAATGCACCCCCACACAAATATTTTTAAAATGGTTAAAATGGTGTTTTGCATATATTTACCAGAGAGAGAACATAAAATCAAGGTGTTTTCTTAGTCCCATACATTAGCATTTACATTATAATGTTTCTGCCTGGTATGATGGTCCACTAAATGATTACAGCAAAACCGTGTATATTAAAGGAGGGCAGGGGCTGCGGAGATGCCTCAGTGGTTAAGAGTACTGACTGCTCTTCCAGAGGACCCTGGTTCAATTCCCAGCACCCACATGGCAGCTCACAACTGTCTGTAATTCCAGTTCCAGGAGATCTGACACCCTCATACCAATGCACATAAAATAAATTTTGAAAAGTAAAATAGGGGGCCAGATAGATGGCTCAGAGGTTAAGAGCACTGGCTGCTCTTCCAGAGGTCCTAAATTCAATTCCCCGCAAACCACATGGTGGCTCACAACCATCTGTAATGAGATCTGGTGCCCTCTTCTGGTCTTCAGGGATACATGCAGACAGAACACTGTATATATAATAAATTAATAAATCTTTAAAAAAAATAAAATAAAAGGCGGGCAGGGGACAGAGGCCATTTGGGCAACTCCAATTTTTAAAGTTTGCCTTGCTGGGCATGGTGGCACATGAGGCAGAGGCAGGCAGATCTCTCTGAGTTCCAGGCCAGCCTGATCTGCAGAGTGTTCTAGGATAGCCAAAGCTACACAAAGAAACCCTGTCTAGAAAAAAACAAAAACAGATAAAGTTCTTTTAATTCAATAGCATTGTCTTTTTCTCTTTATTTTCTAGTTGAATTTTCTGGATGCAAGAGAAATCAGAGTGGTGTGGATATTTACCTAAACTCACGGAAGCCGACCCCTGTGACATTGTTGGACAGTCCTACTATCCAGATCAGAAAGGTCTGTGTTGTAATTTAAGAAAAGGAGAGAGGGGGGAGAGAAAGAAAGAGGAGGGAAGGAGGGAGGGAGGGAGACAGGGAGGGAGGGTCGGCCCTTTTAAAGGGAACATAGTGAATGTGCACAGGTGGTGCTCTTAGTGACTGCAGCTGAGAGCATGTCCTGTCAGAACCCCAAGGGCAGGCCAGTACAGGTATCTGAATACTAACGGTCAGCCCAGTGTGCATGAATGAATATGGGCATGTTTGCTCCGGACAGCAGTCTTTGGGGGAAACTTTAGAACCCAAATCAATGGGCTGTTAGAGCCCACTGTGCATGGTCTCTTAGTATATTTTACCCTTTGCTTTCCCCCTCAACTACCCTCTCCTCTGCCTTATGTTTTTCCCTCCCCTTCCCTCTCCTTCCCTCCCTTCCTCTCTCACTCATTGCCCTCTCCCCTTCTCTCCTTTCCTCTATCTTTTGTTTTCTGGGCTGGAGGCCAAACCTTGGGCCTCATTCATACTAGACAGGTGCTCTACAACTGAGCTCCAGCCCAGGGCCCTTGCTTAACTGCTGATATCTCCAAACCCTGTTCATTTTTGGTTTTTCGAGACAGGGTTCCTCTGTGGCTTTGGAGTCTATCCTGGAACTAGCTCTTGTAGACCAGGCTGGTCTCGAACTCACAGAGATCCACCTGCCTCTGCCTCCAGAGTGCTGGGACTAAAGGCATGTGCCACCAACATCCAGCTTGTTTGTTTGTTTAAGGTGGGGTCTCACTATATAACTCAGTCTTGAACTTCCTGTGTAGCCTAGGCAGGCCTTGAACTCATGATCCTCCTGCCTCCCCTTCCTCCAAGGTTCTGATATTTCAGACATGTGCACCTGAATCATGACAGCTGCCATGTAATGAGATAATATCATCTCTCCTAAGACTTCTGGCTGTAGTTCATTTGGAGCCAGAAATGTCTAGTTTTGAAATTGTGAGATCTTTCTCCTGTCCCTCAACCCTTACACTATAGAATTACACCCCAGACTCCATTTCTCACCTTACTGGTGGCTTCCCCTGGAATAACCTGTCAGGAACTTAGCTCTTAAGCTGGAAGTTAGAGGAAGGTAAGAGCTGCCCATAGATCTCCATGGGCTGATGCAACTCAGGGGTGCAGTGCTGGCCTGGTATTCCATGCAGCATGCTGAGGCAGTGCATGCCTATGTCCTCAGCACAGCTGTTTGGAGCCTGACTGATACCTCAGGGCTGAGAGGACACACTGTCCCATAGGCTCCTCTTGACCCTTGTTCCTTTTCTGATGGCCCCTGGGCTGCAGTGACCTAAGTGCACCCCAGGTGGACAGCTGTTTCTAGTAAGATCAGGCTTTTTTTTATCTTTTAAAAGATTTGTCTGGGATTGATAATGTAAAATAAGATTGTTTCTAATTTAAATTTAAAAAATTGTTGTATTTTTAAAAATAACATGTTAATTTTTATTTTATGTGCATTGGTGTTTTGCTTGTATATACTCTGTGAGGCTATCTATCGGATCCCCTAGAATTGGAGTTTCAGACAGTCATGAGCTGCCATGTGGGTGCTGGACCTGAAGTCAGGTCCTCTGGAAGAGCAGCCAGTGCTCTTAACTGCTGAGCCATCTCTCCAGCCCCTGTATTTTTATTTTTTAAAGATGGTGGGGGCATGAAAAGATGGCTCAGTGCTTAAGAGCACTGGCTGCTTTTCCAGAGGACTTGGGTTCCATTCTCAGCACCCATATGGTATATAGACAGACTTTTCTTTTTGGGCCGCCAGCTCACAAAACATGACATGGAGACTTATTATTCATTATGAAAGCTCAGCCTTAGCTTAGGCTTGTTTCTAACTAGCTTTTATAACTTAAACCCATATTTTAAAATTTATGTTCTTCTACGTGTTTGTTACCTAATCTCCATTATGCCAATCCTGGTTATTGTAGACCAAGCTGGCCTTAAACTCCCAGAGATCCGCCTGCCTCTGCCTCCTGAGTTCTGGGATTAAAGGCGTGTGGACCATGACCAACTGGCTAAAATTTTAAATGTTTTTTTTAAAGACTTTATTTATTTATTATGTATACAGTTATCTGCATGCATACCAGATCTCATTACAGATGGTTGTGAGCCACCATGTGGTTGCTGGGAATTGAACTTGGGTCCTCTGGAAGAGCAGTCAGTGCTCTCTTAACCTCTGAGCCATCTCTCCAGCCCCCTAAATGTTTTTTTTTTTTTTTTTTAAAGAAGATTTATGCTGGGCAGTGGTGGCCCATGCCTTTAATCCCAGTACTCTGGAGGCATAGGTAGGTGGATCTCTGTGAGCAAATTCCAGGACAGCCACAGCTACACAGAGAAACCTTGTCTTGAAAAACCAAAAACAAAAAAGATTTATTTTGTTATTTTATGTATGAGTGTTTCTCTGCACTTATTTATATGCCCCACATATGTGCTGTGCCTACAGAGGGCAGAAGAGATATTGGATCCCTTAGAACTGGAGTTACAATTTTAAACTGCCTGAACTGGTTGCTGGGAAATGAACTCAAGTCCTCTGGAAGGAAAGTAAGCACTCTTAGCCATCCAGCCCTCTCTCTGTCCCTCAGAATCAGGCTTTCAAAGCATTACTGAGAACCTGCCACTACCTTTTTGTTACTTGGAACCCATGGCCTTTTCTGGTAACACATGAACTCTGTGATAAAAAGTTTTCCAAAGTTAGTGATGACTTCAGAGCAATTATTTATCTTCCTACTCCTTTTTAGAAAAATAAAAACAATGGGCTGGAGAGATGGCTCAGAGATTGTGAGCCCTGACTGCTCTTCCAGAGGTCCTGAGTTCAATTCCCAGCAACCACATAGTGGCTCACAGTCATCTATAACGAGATCTGGCATGTAGGCAGAACAGTGTATATGTAATAAATAAATAAATCTTTAAAAAAATAAAAATAAAAACAAAACCAAGCCTTTAAACTGTGAACTTTCAATGCATGTACTAAAATTGTTTTCAATCTTCCAGGTGTGTGGGATGACTGACTGGTTGACAGAAAGTCCCTAAGGACAGGGCTGCAAGATTTAGCTGCTGTTGGTTCACTTCCTGGCAGCCTGGGACCTGCCTCCCAGGCACCTCAGGCACCATGGACTCCCCAGGGTACAACTGCTTTGTGGACAAGGACAAGATGAACGCATCCATCCAGGACCTGGGGCCAAAGGAACTGAACTGTACCGAGCTACAGGAGTTGAAGCAACTGGCACGTCAGGGCTACTGGGCTCAGAGCCACGACCTGCGGGGTAAAGTGTACCAGCGCCTGATCCGGGACATCCCCTGCCGCACGGTCACACCGGATGCCAGCGTGTACAGTGATATCGTGGGCAAGATTGTGGGCAAGCACAGCAGCAGTAGCTTACCCTTGCCTGAATTTGTGGACAACACTCAGGTGCCCATCTATTGCCTGAACACACGGGGTGAGGGGGCTGTGCGCAAGATTCTCCTGTGTATCGCCAATCAGTTCCCTGATATTTCCTTCTGTCCTGCCCTGCCTGCTGTGGTGGCCCTGCTGCTGCACTATAGCATTGATGAGGCTGAGTGTTTCGAAAAGGCCTGCCGCATCCTAGCCTGCAATGACCCCAGCAAGAAGCTCATTGACCAGAGCTTCCTGGCCTTTGAGTCCTCCTGCATGACATTTGGGGACCTGGTGAACAAGTATTGCCAGGCAGCTCACAAACTGATGGTAGCTGTGTCAGAGGATGTCCTGCAGGTCTACTCTGACTGGCAGCGATGGCTGTTTGGGGAGCTGCCCCTCAACTACTTTGCCCGAGTTTTTGATGTCTTTCTTGTAGAAGGCTACAAGGTACTGTACCGAGTCGCTCTGGCCATCCTCAAGTTCTTCCATAAGGTGAGAGCAGGGCAGCCCCTCGAGTCAGACAATGTAAAGCAAGACATCCGCATATTTGTCAAGGACATTGCCAAGACAGTGTCCCCTGAGAAACTACTAGAGAAGGCCTTTGCCATCCGCCTATTTTCCCGAAAGGAGATCCAGCTCTTGCAAATGGCCAATGAGAAAGCATTAAAGCAGAAGGGCATTACTGTCAAGCAGAAGAGGTAGGTGGGCCCCAGGATTGTGTGCATGTGTTCTCATTCCTCTGTTTGTAAGTGTGTGTGTGTGTGTGTGTGTGTGTGTGTGAGAGAGAGAGAGAGAGAGAGAGAGAGAGAGAATGTGTGTGTGTGTGTGCCATGAGCATACTACATCTGTGGAGCCGGGAGCTTTAGTGGAATGCATCCTTGAGGTCTGAGCCTGAGCTTGTCCTGCCAGCCATTGGTCTGATTCTAGCCTTCTGTCTGTCCACCTGCTCACATGTGAATAGGACACTAGAAAGCAGGAAGGGCTTTGTAGTTATGGTTTTAACAAGCAAGGAAGCTGGATGCTATTGGGGTTAGAAGGTCCAGCAGTTGACAGGCTGGCCTCCTAGGGTGGTCACATCAGAACAGCTCCTACTCTGCCCTTCCAGCTCCAAGCTTCATGGCTGGCATTCCTTGGAAATGCTGATTGTGGGCTCCTTATCCCTGGGGAACAGGGTTGGGAAGAGTCACCGTATACTGCTATAGGCATGGCTGCTGGCATGGAGTTACATTCTCCTGGGCCCAAAGGAAGGCATACCTGGGGATCGGTACCTACCACTAACCTCGCCTTGTCTGTTTTATTTTTCTTCTTCTCCGTGTCGTTGCTTCCTCCTGTTTCTCAGTGTCTCACTTTCTAAAAGGTAGGTCTGAAACCACACCTCGATGCTTGGCCTCTCTGCCCTGCCTTTCTTCCAGCCAACTCTGGCTTGGCTGCTTGCTGTCTCTCAAGGCCCACCTGGCTCTCCTGGGATGGCTTCTGCTTGCTGCTTTAGCCTGATTGATACAGGCAATGTCTGTCTGTCTGTCTGTATGTCTGTCTGTCTGTCTGTCCGTCTGTCCTCCATCCGTCCATCTTTCTGCCTCACTTGTGGGATCTGCTGGTGCTTGGCTGGCTCTGTAACCTTGCCTTGCTGGAGGCTTACTTCATTTGTCCTGGTTTCTTAAAGAAAAGGGCTTTTGTCCCCCATACCCCAAGGCTGGGCACTCTCCTATGTATCAGATGGGAGGTGGGGCTTCTAGGAATAATTCCATCTCATTTCCAACTGGCACCTAGAGCCAAGCTGCAAACCTGGCTGAGTAGGTGAGATATCTTTTCCAAGATACGTACCAAAATGCAACCGTGATGCCTCAGGATGGGGTGCAGTCAGGACTGTGGTCACTGTGGGTTCTCACCCCTCCTCACTTTTCCCAGGCAGTTTGTGCACTTGGCTGTCCATGCAGAAAACTTCCACTCAGAGATTGTCAGCGTGAAGGAGATGAGAGACATTTGGTCCTGGATCCCTGAGCGTTTTGCCCTCTGCCAACCCCTCCTACTCTTCTCCTCATTGCAGCATGGGTACAGCTTAACCAGGTGAGGTGCCCCCAAGACTTTGAGAGTCACATCCTACACTCCACTTCAGGAAGTTATGGGCTGGCAGAAATGAGTCTTTGAACCTGGGGCCCTGATAAGGTCTTGCCTCATTGTGTGAGGCCTGAGAATAAGGAGCCTCTTTTCCTGGCCTTCTGTCATTCCCAGGCTACATAGACTTTGGAAGTCTTTGCTGTGTGCACCACAGCTGAGGGTCCTGTGTGGTATCATAAAATACAAAAATTAAAATTCCTATCATAGGAGCTCAGAATTGTTAGAGAGTTGTCATCAGGACAGCTGGCCCTGGCCTCCCTGCTGCCCTCACCCACTATGTCCATCACAAGCCTGGACCAGGTGCCCCTTTTTGGGACTCTGTCTGTGTAAGCACCTGGTATTCTAGCAGGGGCACACTGCCCTGCAAGCTAGATTGGTTGGGTTCAGTTAGTAACAAATGACAGTTCACAAAATCTGGAACAACTTCCCACAATCCCAAGTCCCCTGTCTGCAACCACACAAGCATTTTGGCTTAGTTAATAGTTACTTCTTCCCAAGAAGTGGTGGTGCACACCTTTAATGCCAGTGCTCAGAGGCAGAGGCAGAGGCAGACTGGTCTACAAAGTGAGTGCCAGGATACTCAAGGCTACACAGAGAAACCCTGTCTTCTCCCAGCCCCCAGGGACATCTGAGCACCACAGTGGCATGCCTCACCTTCCTCACATGTCCAGGGCTGGGCTTTTCCTGTTTCTCTGGTTCCTGCTTCCCTATAGCTTCCAGCACTCAAGTTTGCCTGAGGGGGAAATACACTGAATCTTCTCCTTTGTCATACCAGGGCAGCCTGGCCTGGCCAAAATGAGATTGCAAGGTCCTTAGCCACTGTGGACAGAGGTGGTGGGAAAAGAGCATAGTCCCCAGGCCTCTCTACCCTAGACCTAGGGACTGACAGTTGTCAGTGCTAACAGGAGATGCCAGGGAGGACATGCAGGGTAGCACGTGTGGTCTCTGCCCTCAGGTTCTATTTCCAGTGTGAAGGACACGAGCCCACCCTCCTGCTCATCAAGACCACGAAAAAGGAGGTGAGAAGCCTGGTTTACTGGGCTGATGCCAAGACATGAGTGTGGATATAGTCCCAGCATGGAGCTTGTTCTCATGCTTGAGAGCCACAGGGGAAACAAAATGACACTTCCCTAAAGTCAGTCCTCTCCCACAACCTTTTGCCCTCAATGGTGGGTGAATGCAATATAACAACACCCCTAAGCTGCGACTTGTCTCATTCAGCATACCTGAATGAGGACAGAAAGCCACGCCAGAAAGTCTCACCCCAGCCATCCTCCATAGGTTTGTGGAGCTTACCTGTCAACAGACTGGAGCGAGAGAAATAAGTTTGGAGGCAAACTGAGCTTCTTTGGAACTGGAGAATGCTTTGTTTTTAGGGTGAGTTGGGCTGAGTGTGGGGTCCCTCTGCCTACCCCCTTCTTCCTCAGCTGTTGCTGTCTCTTCAGATGCTCTGAGCACTTAGTCTGCCCTCCAAGACTGAGTGTAGGCCCAGCATCTGTCCTGACCCCTGACTGTCACAGAGGCTAGCTGGAGGGGTTCAGAAGTCATCAGGCCATGTACCTGAGCACCCCAGCACAAGAGCCTTGCTTCATTTTCATGTCTGGGTTTTGCTGGTTAGACTATGAGTACCCCAAGACTTAGCAGGGCCTCCTCTGCTAAAGTGGTGTTCCATTGCCACAGTATTTAGGGACTCACCACAGCAGATTCATGGGATGGAGATGGGCTGTGGCTTTGGAGCAGGAGGCCCAATGAGGTGCCACGTGCTACCTGTTCCTCTCCAGCTGCAGCCAGAGGTACAGCGTTATGAGTGGGTGGTCATCAAGCACCCAGAGTTGACCAGGCCAACATCCTTCAAGTCCTCAGAAGCTGCAGCTGCTTCTTCCTTCCTCAGCCACTCCATCTCTCCAGAACCTGCTGATCGGCTCTCCCCTTTCTTGGCTGCCCGGCACTTCAACCTGCCCTCCAAGACCGAGTCCATGTTCATGGCTGGGGGCAATGACTGCCTCATCATTGGTGGGCACCTGTTCCTTTCACTTCAGCCTGGGAGGAGGGCATGTGGGATCGAGGGTAGCTAAAGCCCTTGTGCCCAGTCCTTGTTGACTGGTTGTAGTAGGCATCTCAGTTAAACAAAGGAAAAGGACCTACGTTGTTGGGGGTAGACCAGGCATGAAAGATGGGAGATAAGGGCTAGCAAACAAGCATTAGCCAGGACAGACAGGCCCAGGTAAACTTGTGGTTTTAGAAGAACCCCTGTTGTCCTTCCAAGGACAGAGATGATGGGGTACCTAGGGATGGGGAGGTTGTTGGAGCAGAAAGACATCTGTTCCCTTGCATATCCCACAGGGGGAGGAGGTGGCCAAGCACTCTACATTGATGGGGATCTGAACCGAGGCCGCACTGGACACTGCGACACTTTCAACAACCAGCCTCTCTGCTCTGAGAACTTCCTCATCTCAGCAGTGGAGGCCTGGGGCTTCCAAGACCCTGACACCCAGTGATGGGTCTGTGCTGATGGTGACTGAGCCACACTGTGGGATGATGGGGTGGAAGCCAAGCTGCCTTGAGGGAGCAGGGAGTGAGTGAGACACCACCCCCGGGAAACAGGCATGCTTGGTGTGCAGTGGGGATGTCAGTGTCGCAAGCCAAGTCTGGCCTCTCCTTGGACTGGCTGACTCTCTGCTTTGACTGGCTGGATTTGTTAGGCTAGGACCCCTGAACCCTCCTGCTTCTGAGCTCATGGGGCTATTATGCCCCCATCCCTGTCCAGTTTCTGTCCTCACCCAGGGTCCTAGCTCTGCATGGAGGTGTCTTGTACCCAGGATTGCCCAGAGCTATATTGCTCTTGTAGGGAAAGGGCAAATGATTTCTTGCCAAATGTGGGTTTGTGGTGCCCCCTGCTGGTACTTTGACCCTGCAGGCTCTGAGGCTCCCCTGAGCTACAGTGGCTGCTTCAGGGTGGGATGGGGAGGGCAGGATTTGTGCAGAGCTTTGCAGCTTCTGTCCCAGAAGGGATGGGGGCTGGAGAGCTGTCTTTTGTCTTTGTGTTTCTGCAGAGCCTGAAGCTCTCGCTACGCCTCACTGCAAGCCCACACCTGAAGGTGGCCTCTGGAGAGACTTGCTTTGACCAAGTTGGCCATTTCAGCTCCATTTCCAGGGTTCTCCTCAGAGGTGACTGGACTCAGTGAGGCTGTTTGCCCTCCTCCTGACCATCCCTGTAGCCTCCTGAACTTCTGTAGTCTTGGTGACTCCTGTGTTTCCTTTCCTTGTCACTGTAGTGACTGAGGCCCAGGGTCACCCGAACCCTAGCATGGCATGCTTGTCTCAGTCTGCCTTCTCCTCAGGCCTGTGGTTCCCTAGACCTGTTCACACAGCATCTGATAAACCAGTGTGACCTTCTGATCCCTCTAAAGTTGTCACTATGGCTAGCCTCGTGCCATGTTTTCTGTGTGCTGCCCCTTCTCCCATTATGGCCTTCCAGTCTCTGGATGTCTGTGCTTCTTAAGCCCTGTGCTGGCCGGGAGCACAGTGGATGCCAAGGGAAGTGCTGCCTCTGAGGACTGCAGCAAGCTCTATTTCCCTGTGACCTCCCTCAGCTGGTCCTGAGGGTCTGGGGCCACAGACGTCTGAATCATAAGAACAGCTGCCTGGCTCCCATGACCATGTCTGGCGTGCTCAGTCAGCATGTCTCACACCTGTGCTTGTCTCCACACTGATGCTCACTCTTCTGTGGGAGGGTCATCCTGCCCTGTCCTGTCTATTCACATCAGCTCTCAACAAGGCCACAGTGGCACACGAGACAGGGCAGGAAGGAGCCCCCTGAAACTTTGGGCTACCTGGTAAACCTGCGTAGAACTTTGGACTCTGCACAGTGGACCAGTTCTCCCACCATGCTGGCTTCTGGGACAGGTCGACATGACTCTCTAGAGGAAAGAGGTACTGGGAGGAACTGTTGTTACTCATCTCCAGAGTGTTGTAGCCCTTGCCACCGATTCCTCTGAGCCCACTGTCCCAGGCCTGTACCTCCAACTTTGGTGTTCATTTAAAGCCATCTTGATTTTTTGTTATTGTTGTTTCTGGCAAGAACTTTACTATGTAGCCTACTTAGTCTAGAACTCCCTATATAGACCAGGCTAGCCTGGAAGTTGCTCTGTAGCCTAGGTTGGCCTCAAAATCATGACCTGCCTCAGCCTCCTAAGTGCTGGGCTCATAGGCATTAAGCTCAGCACTTTCCCATTGCATTAACTCTGGGACTCTGAGTTTGACCTCCAGCCAGAAGGCCCCCAGGACTTTTCCAGGCCATGCCATCATGATGCTCACCCATGCATTGCCACTGGGACTCAGAAGCCTTTCAGAAGCAGAATAAGTTAACTGGGCAGTGTGTGAAGGGCCCTGCAAGGCTCCTGATTGGGTAGTAGATTTCTTGTCTTGTGTGGTCCCTACTGGCCTTCCTGGGGGTCCAGCTCATGAAAATTGGTTGATGCTTAGTCACAATTACATCATAAGCTAAGTTCTTCACTTTTACCCACAACACACTCAGTTCTTTAAACTTAGTATCTCCTTTTTCTTCTGACTTTTCTACTAAAAGGTGTCATTTTCTTTATATGTTTATTCTGATCACTCTTCTTATCTGATACTAAGTGTTTCCACTTAGTACTTATTAATGCTTTCTATTATTTATTAGCTTTTGATGTTAACAACAAGACAAAATTTGATGGCATTGTATAAGAACTTATTATTTTATCAGCATTTAAACATTTGTTTTTAAAACAAATATTGAACTTAATATAAGCCAGTACATTAAAGTAAATAACTTTGTTAATATAAACCATATGCCTTTGGGGCCCCAGAAAATCAGTTTGTACTTTGGTTTTGTTTATGACAATCAGTGTCATGTAGCTGTGTTTAGCCTTGAACAAACTGTGGATGCAGCTTTCCTTGAACTCATCTTTGTGCTTCCACACCCCAAATATCATAGGGATCACAGTGGTTTGCTGCTATGCTTGGTGATAATCAGCTCATTTTCAAAGTAATTTATGATACAACATTGGGTGTTTGCATTTTAAGAATTTTTCTATTTTAATTATTGAACTACATTACTGTTTTGAGTTTTTCCTATTTTTAAGAGCTGCCACATGCCAGTGCTCCTGACGGCTGAGCCATCTCTCCAGCCCCTTAGTTTTCCTGCTTTTATTTTTCCAGTTTTTCAGAGCAGTTTGTTTTAGAGCATTCTGAATTTCAGATTTTCAAGTTTTTCTTACTCATTTCCTGAGTCTTTAGAGCTTTTCTGATCTCAAGTATTTTATATTTACTAATTTAGGTTTTGTTCCTAAGGTGCTGAGGATTGAACCTAGGACCCTATACATACTAGGCAACTTCTCTACCCCTGATGTCCTCAGTCCTACATTGTATGTTGAACTGGTTTTCAGTTTACATCCGAATTGCTGAGATGGAAGTTTTTATGGACCCTTGTCCACACTGACCTATTGACACAACTTCAATCCCGGCACTCAGAAGGTAGAGGCAGGTGGATCTCTGTGAGTTTAAGGCCACCCTGTTATATGCAGCAAGTCCCAGACTAGCCAAGGCTAAATAATGAGACCTTGTCTTTAAAAAGATATAGGGGGAGAGGTGGTTTAGAGAGCATGTTCAGTGGTTAGGCCACTGGCTGCTCTTCCAGAGGACCTGGGGTCAATTCCCAGCAACCACATGGCAGCTCACCAACATCTATAACTCTAGTTCCCAGGGATCCAGGTCCTTTCCTGGCCTCTGGACACTGTACCAATGTAGTAGATAGACATATATGGAGACAAAAGACTCATACACAAAAAATAAAAATGAAGGAAAAATAAAACAAATTAGTATAGGTGCAGCCCTGACTAAACCACAAGCATTGTTTTTCCACTGGACAGGAGTATATGAAGTTTGTACAGATACCCGCTTTCTCACATTTTCACTAAATCTAGAAAGTTGTCAAACTCAAAAGACTACTAAGTTTTTGGGTTATTTTGTTTGTTTGTTTTTGTTTTTTAAGCCACTATTTAGGTTGTAGTTTTCTATAGAACTACCTCCAATATAGCTAACTCTTCAGCAGCTCTCCTCAGGTTTATGTGGCAAAGTTATTATGTCAAGCATGAGTGCCAAGCAGGCCTTAGAGTTCTTTCCCCGAAGTATTTACATCAGGTCAGAAGGCTTGTGAAGTATAAAAGATAATTTTGGTATTAAGATTCTTACCTGGGCCTGGTGTGTGTCTAAAACACCAGCACGTGGAAGGTAGAGGCAGAAAGATCAGGTTGTTAGCTACATACAGACTTCAAGGCTAGCTATGGCTACAAGAGGTCCTGTCTCAAAATGAAAAAAGAAAAAAAGAAACTTTTTAAGACCTCTCCCATTACCTCAGTTTCTGATTGTGCTAATTGGTATCAGGTGAAGAGTCACATGGTACATTACTACAGACAATGATTTTGTTTGCAGGCTCAGTCATTTTCTTAAACTGCATGGAATTTGTCAATATTGTACTTAGGACTAAGGAAGCAGTCATTGGACACATGGACACACTGACCAGTGACATGGCAGGAACTAACCAAACAAAATATCTCGATGTAGACTGGCACCCACTGGTGTGCCACTTGGCTGCTCTGCAGCTGCTGCCTCGCCCTGTTTTCCTATATGAAGAGATCAGAGCCCCTCTGGTTGGAAGCTTGTGAGCTGGAGTGGAAAGACAGCTCATCCATTAAGAGGCCAGCTGGGCACGGTGGCACACACCTTTAGTTCTAGTATTCAATCCAGGCAGAGGCAGATGGATATCTGAGTTTGAGGCCAGCCAGACTACACAGAGAAACCCTATCTTGGGGTGGGGGAAGCACTGTTGCTCTTCCAGAAAACCCAGGTTCAATTTTCAACACCCAAATTGCAGTTCACAACTGTCCATTTCTCCAATTCAAGGGGATCTCCCACCCTCGTCTTGGCTCTGGGCAATGCATGCAAGAGATGCACAGATATACATGCAGGTAAAAACAACCATACGCGTAAAATAAAGATAAAGCTTTAAAAAAAGTTTGTAGGCTGAAGACTGAAGGGGAAGAAGTTCCAAGCATAACTTTACCTCTTAGATCTTGTCATTATGGGCTTTGACAAGGGGTCACCAATTAGGAGTTGTGGTGCACACCTGTAATCCCAACACTCAGGAGGCTGAGGCAGGAAGATTGCAAGCACGAAGCTAGTCTGACTTAACAGTGAGTTTCATGCTAGCCTAGCTTACATACTGAGACCTTATCTTAAAAATGAAGAAACAACAAAAAGGGTGGTCCCTGGACTGACCCTGTGGAGCATCTGAATGAGTGTACTAAACATGCTCATGCTTACAGAGCAAAAGTGGATTTTCAGCAAAATACAATTTTGTATGTGAAAATAAGTGATTTGGTGATGTTTGGTTAGTGTTAATGTAAGTCCTAAATAAAATTAATAACTGATGAAGAGGTGTATTTGTGTGTGCCATGTGAGTACAGGATGGGAAGTCCCTGGCACTGTTCTTCCAGGATATACTTACTGTCCATCTCTTGAGGAGAAGGCATAAACTAAGGATCCATTGCCCTCTTCAAGTAGAGCTGAAGCCTGCACCAGCCCCTCATAGCCATGACAAGGAGACCCCACAGACACAGGTATATATTCTGTTTCATTTGCCACTGCCAGCCGTTATAACCTGCTTCCTGACCTTGCTTCTGCCTTTTGCCTTCAGGTGTGTCATTTGGAGTAAATGAAGGATGGAGAGGAACCACTGTGAAGAATCATGTCTCCAGTCATCCTGGTTCCTGTGAAGTGTAAAACTCAATGTCAAAAGCATGGCTCAGAAGTTAAGAACACTGGCTGCTCTTCCAGAAGACCTGGCTTCAATTCCCAGCACCCACATGGCAGCTCACACCTCTCTGTTACTCCAGTTCCAGGGGATCTAACACCCTTACACCAATGCATATAAAATAAATCATTTTAAGAAAAGCAGCTGGGTGGCGGTGTCCCACACCCTTTAATCCCAGGCAGGCGGATCTCTGTGAGTTTGAGGCCAGCCTGATCTATAGAGTGAGTTCCAGGGCAGCCAGGACTGTTACACAGAGAAAACTTGTCTCAAAAACAACAACAACAACAAAAACAAAAAACAAAAACAAACAAAAACCCCCACAAAACTCAAATTTCTCATTCAAAATGAGGCTGTTAATATTAACATCTTTCCCAATGCATCCTACTTTTGTGGTTTTTTTTTTTTTTTTTTTTTACCTCTGACCTGTATTAACATCTTTCCCAATGCATCCTACTTTTGTTTTTTTTTTTTTTGTTTTTTTGTTGTTTTTTTTTTGTGGTACTGAGAATTTGATGTGTCATCTTGTACATACCACTGAGTTATATCCCCAGACTTTTTCTTTTTTTTTTTTTTTGCTTGAGATACAGTGTCCTAAGGTACCCAGGCTGTCCTTCAACTCACTCTATAGCCTAGACAGACCTTGAACTTGTGATCTTTTTTAGCTTCTCAAGTAGGCACACCAGGCCTACCAGAATATTTTCTTCGAACCACGCACAAATGCCCACTGCCCTGTCTAGTTCCTAGCTGTGAGACTTTTGGGCAGGGTTCCTGCCCTATTTCTGCAGTTGCTCTAGGACCCTGCTTGCTTCTCCATGAAATAATGGCTGCCCACTTCTTCTTCCCTAATTCTCTCTCCCATATTGGCTACGAGGGTGGATATGGCTTGTGATCTCCTTTGCTGCCTTTTTGTTTTGTTTGTTTTTCAAGACAGGGTTTCTCATAGCTCTTGTAAACCAGGTTGGTCTAAAACTCACAGAGATCCACCTGCCTTTGCCTCCCGAGTGCTGGAATCAAAGGTGTGTGTCACCAACGCCCGGCCCTTTGCTGCCTCTTAAGAGCTTTCCTGCTGTATCACAGGTCACTCCAGAGGATGCTGGGAGGCCTGGCCCACTTTTGAGAAGTCGTCCACTATGTCTACTTGATTCCAGGACTACCCCAGCATAGCTATAGTGAGCTCTGGTTTTCTGCAGTTCCTCAGATAGATCCAGAACCTGTTTCTGGGCTTTCAAGCCCCCTTCCTGGGAAACTGCTCTCTGTTGTGAAGCTTTGTAGCTCCTAAGAAAACTCTACTGTTCTGTTGTCTACTGAGAACTGTCAGCCCTCCAGGGCAGGAGTGTAGCCAATTGCAGAATAAACAGTGCTTGCACTGCTGGTATAGGACCATTCCCAAGGTTTGTCCTGCATCCCCAGAATGCCCTAAAATAGCTCTTTTCTCTTACTACCCAGTGCACAGATCCATCCTGTGATTGACATCACGGCATGGACAGACCCAATAACCACACTTGTAATCTCAGGACTTGAAACATAAAAGTCAGAGGATCAGGGGTTCAAGACCAGCCTAGGTCACATAAGACCCTCCCACAGACAAACAACAAAAACTGGATTGTATCTTCTTCCTGTCATAAAACCTTTTCATATTTTAAGACTTAATTTAGGAATCATCTTTCCTGGGACCCCAGTATAGAGCCCTAACCACTCCCTCTGTATCCCCCTCTCCACATTAGTAACCCCATTTCTGACTTAGTCTTAGAGATTTGTTCAGGCATGTTTGTTCCCACAATAGGTTCCCAGTTCATCTTTGCTTTCCAGATACTCAGTGTATTCCCATTACCAAGTGGGGAGACACAGGGTCAAGGGCAGATGGGGCAAAAAACACTGAGGGTTAACCCAACACCTGACAAGCTTCTTCCATAGCCAAGCTTACAGTAAACTAGCTTTATTCTGAGAGCCTCACACTGCCCCCTGCTGGCAGAGCTGCCTCTCCACATGCCCGTTTGTCTTCGGAGAGGAAGACTCAGTCAGGCCTTACACCAACTCTTGAAGTTTGGAATTTTTGCTAGAAGTGAGAGGTTGCCCTGTCTTTGGGACCATTCTAGCTGTCTGCCTTGTAAATGCATATGTATTGTCTCTCTTGAGGTCTGATACGTAGAAGCAGTGCAGATTTGCAAACCACCCTTGCAATTGAACTGTGTCCAGGAGCCAAGCAAAAGGACTTTACTAACAAGACAGGATTTCTCTGTATGTAGCTTTGGAACCTGTCTTGACACTGGCTCTGTAGACCAGGCTGGCCTCAAACTCACAGAGAATTTTTTTTTAATTTTTATTTTAGGGCCTCCATATGTAGCTTTATCTGTCCTGGAACTGCCTATGTAGACCAGGCTGCCCTTGAACTCTTGCCTCTGCTTCCCAAGGGCTGGGGTTAAAGGAGTGTACCACCACAAGCAGCAGGGGTTTTATTTTTTAATTTTTGAGGGTGTTTTGCCTGCATGTATGCATGTGCACCAGAGGCCAGAAGATGTTGTCGAATTCCGTAGAACTGAAGTTACAGACAGCTTCAGGTGTCTTGTGGATCCTGGGCATGGAACTCCAGCCCTCTCCAAGAGCAGCAAGTGCTCTTAACCACTGAGCTATCTCTCCAGCCTGTTTTTACTTCTTTGATTCTTATTCCATAAGGTATTTATTTCTGGTGCTCAGGATAAGTCCAGGGCCCCATGCATGCTAAACATGCACTCTACCATCAAGCAACGTCAGCACCCAGTGGCCAGCCTTATTTAATATTTTTAGATAAGATCTGCCTCAAGATCTCCACCTTCCTGTTCAAACCCTTAAATACTGGGGTTATAAATGTACAATACCATGCATGGCTCAACTTTTTTTTTTTTTTTTTTTTTTGTGACCGGGTTTCTCTGTATCGTTTTGGAGGTTGTCCTGGAACTTGATCTGTAAACCAGGATGGCCTTGAACCACAGAGATCCACCTGTCTCTGCCTCCCCAGTGCTGGAATTAAAGGTGTGTGCCACCAATGACTGGCGGCTCAACTATTTTTGAGTTAAAAAAACTAGCTGCCTTTAATCATGTTCCATTCCCCAAAGCAGTGTGATTATGCTTTTTGTTTGTTTGTTTCCACCAGCATTGTCTGAGCCACATGTTCTGTCTCACCAGGGTAAGAGAGCATGGTGCCAACCCTATACAGTCTTGTCTGTCCCATGTCCTTTGTTCCTCTCCCCCAACCCCATGCCTCCATGGTGGCTTTGAAGGAGGCTGTTGGCAAGGTTCCTCCTGGGACACACAGTTCTTGATGTTCCTGAGAGACTGCTGCTTCTCCCTTCCCCTCCTCACGGTCCTCTTCCTTCCCTTCACCCTCTTCATCCTCCTATTTTTATCTCTCCTCCTTTTCCCCACCTTTTTTTTTCTTGAGACAGTTCTATGCAATCTAGGCTGGCATTGAATTTACACTCTTTCTGCCTCGGCATCCAAAGTGCTGAGTTGACAGCTGTGCACTACTAAACCTGGTCTTTGCTTCCTTGGAATAGCTTCCCTGGAGTAAGTTCACTTTTCCAGTTAAGGTTGTTAAGGTTGATGTTATTTATGGTGTCTTAACTTTCTTTGTCCCCTTTTCTGGGATTTCTGAAAAGTGTCATTGGCTGTCTAAGGGTCCCACCTTCCATCTCTGTTCCTCTCCTCATGGGGCATGCATTTCCAAATCCCCTCCCGATTGGTGTCTGGAAATCCCCACTGACAGTGACAGGCAGAACTCATGATCTATGATTTCATGCCAAGGGGGAAGTAACATTGAGGGAGAAGGCAGGGATGCCCCTGTAGTTTCTTTCCTAGAACCCCTAAAAGTAAGGGCCCTGCACAGTGCCTGGAAGATCCAGGTGGGAGGTTATGAGATGGAAAGAAGTGAAAGATGGTGGCTGAGCTGTCAGTTTAGCCCAGCAGCCTGGGCCTTAGATCAAAATTCTAATTCCATCAGTAGTTGGTGACCAGTGCAAGGCTCTTAATCTTCCTAGGTTTGTTTCACTATCCACTGACTAAAAATAGGTATAGCAATGGTCTCAGATGTCTCAGCACATAGGTGCTCTCAGCCGTGTTGCCTAAATCAGATGGACACCCTGCTGGTGATCTGGAATACAAAAAAATAAAATAGAGTCAAATAACCTTCAATGAAAGCAAGAATGGGGTGTGAGGAGGACATTCAGGGGAGGGGAAGGAGAAACATGGAGGGATGACAGGAGGGCTTCCTGGAGGGAAATGGATTCTGAGCAATAAGTAAGACGAGGGGAGTAGGGTTGGAGGACAAGAGAGCAAGGGGGAGCGCAACAAGAAGAGTCTAGCATGCGATCAAGCACCAAAGAATTGTAGGATATTAAGTGATGATTAGAAAGAAAACCAAAACAACAACCTATGAGGGCGGAGCAATGGCTCAGTAGTTAAGAGCACTTACTGCTCTTGCAAAAGGATCTGGGTTCAATTCCCAGCACCCACATGACATCTCACAACCGTCTGTAACTCTACTTCCAGGAGATCTGACTTCCTCGGGTAGTAGGCACATGGGAGAAAAAGCGGGGAGAAGGAAGAAGCATTGAAAACACTGCTACAGAGGCCCAGTAAGCAAGCA